GACAAGGGGTGAAAGGTTTGGTGCGCGGGGAGGGTGTGACCGCGCGTAGCTGCGTCACGCCAGGGGTGCGCAGTTGGTGTGTTGCAGACGCGGCGCAGGCAGGCGCATGTTGTGCGCATGTACATGCATCTAGCTCGCAGAGCGCGATTCCGCTAGGCGTGCCGACACCGCTGCCCCGCCGTGCCGGGGCCGCCATCACGCCAGGCGCCTCTCGAGTTGCAAGCGCTCATGCGCGCATGCACGCATGGGGCAGTTGGGGGCGGGTTGGAGCGGGCTGGACGGGTGGGGCCCGCTCCGCCACTGCCACATGATGTTTCAAGGTTTGCTAAAGCGGGCCCACTGCATGCGCACACAAACATGCGGCCCCCCGCGCCGCCCCCAGGTCGGCTGTGACGGCCCCGACGACCTCATGCGCATGACTGACACCTCATCCAGCTACGAGGGCTTTGAGATCATCGACCGCCACCTCAAGCGCCTCGCCAGCAAGGCGCGCCGCGCGCTTGCCGCACGCCTTGCTGGCCCATGCCGCAGCTTCTTGCAGCGCTCCTTGGCTGCACCGGGGCTCCGCAGGGGCAGGCGGCGCGACTGTGGCGCGGCAGCATGCATTTTGCGTGTGCGTGTGATGCGTGTGGAGGTGGGGGGTGGGGGAGGGGGGTGCGGCGTGCCGTCTGCTGGCAGCAGCGCAAACGGCTGGTGGGGGTGGGGCGACCCTGCACCTCCAGCGCGCCTTGGTCGACCGGGCGCGGCCCTGGCCCTTCGCGCCCCTCACGCGCAGGTGCGGTCCAAGGACTGGCGGGGCGCGCTGAGCCTGGCGCTGGGGCTGACGCTGGCGGCCAAGGGTGACGAGTTTTGGTACTGCGACACAGATGGCCCTGAGCACGTGGCCGCGATCTGGAAGGTGGGCGGTTTGTTACGGTAGCTGGAGGGCATGGGCTCCAGGTGCACCATGCAGTAAGCATCAAGGAGACGGGGTGCTCGGCAGGCGGCGGCTGCAAAACGGGGCGCCAGGCTTGAACGTACTGCCGCGCCTGTCGCGCGCGGCGCCCCTGCCGCATGCCGCAGTGCGGCCCCTGGACCCCTCTTCGCCCCAGCTGCAGCGCACCAGCACCACGACCACCACCACCGCCCCCCCCCCCTTGCACCCCCAGAAGCTGCGCGCCTCCTGGACCACCATCCTCAAGCAGCCCGATGACGTCATCGGCCTGGACACCCCCGGGCGCGCGAGCGTGGCCTCCCTGCTCAAAGACTTTAGGCACGACCTCAAGCAGTACGGCTGCCTGTGATCCCCGCGGCGTGATGACCGCGGCTTTGATACCCGCGGCTGCTTGGGCCTCTGGACGCACGCCGCCACCGAGCCGGGCGCCAGCCTGATTTGACACTTGATAATGCTTTGACACTGCTGCAGCCTGCGTTGCTGTGCCTTACGAAAGTCTTTGCCTTACAAAATGTGCGTATGTCTGCTTGCTTGCCGCGCCGTCGGTGATGCGCCGGCGCTGGAATATGTTGGCGGCCACCGATGCGTGCACGAGCGGCAGCGCAAACACAGGGCAGGCCGCCCCGCCCCGCCCC